TAGCGTCGAGCAGCTGCTGGAAGGCTGCCCATTGGAGCTGGGGCGCAGTAAGCTCCTGCTGGCTGTGCCGCCTGAGGGGGTCCACAAGCGGACCGAGCTCGGTGGGCGGCCCCGGCTCTGGGGGGCCGGCCAGTTCGAGGTGCTCTTGGTGAGGATCGAGGAGCAGGCCCACGCGCGAGTGGCCGCTGGCGCCCACGCTCGAGGGAGGCGCGGTCGCGGTGTGCGCGCCCGTCAGCTGGCCCGTGAGGGGGCATGCCGGAAGGGCTTGGCCGCCTTGACCAGCTCCGTCGGACTTGGGGCCGGTGGAGCAGCGGAGCTGGGCGGCCCAGCTCCTCCCAATCAGCTCTGCCCCGGAGGCCGCGCGTGCTGGGGAAATCCCGCCGCCGCAGGAAGCAGAGGGGGAGGGCGACGACGGTGGCGCAGGCGCAGCTCAGACGGCCACTCATGTCCCGTGGGGTGCGTCCCTCCGCCAGGCGGCGTTGGGGGGCGTGCGATTCCCCGCGCTGGGCGGGCCCCTCTGGCATGCGGCCTGAGCACCTCAGCGAGGCGCTCCTGGCGCGGCGTCGGGCCGTCGCGTCGAGGCTCCTCCGCGCAGTGGCTGGGTTGGTCCGCGTCGCGGGGGAGGGGTCGCCCCCGCCCTCGGCGCGCTGGATCCTCCAGTCGCGCGCGGTGTTCCTCCGGAAGCCTGACACCGACACCCCGCGGCCCATCCGAGTGGGCGAGGTTTGGCGGTGGCTTATCGCCAAGCGCCTCCTGGCTGGCAGCCGGGAGCGACTCCAGAAGATCTTCGTGCAGCAGCGGCAATGCGGAGTGGCTCTGCCGGGCGGTGCCGACACGCTGGTGCACCTCCGGCGCTGCTTGGAGCGGGCGGCGGGCGGCTCGGCGCTCTCCGCCATCGCGGGCCTGGACCTGGACCTTCACAACGCTTTCCCCTCCCTGGAGTGGCCCGCAGTGCGCTCCGGCGTGGATTGGATGGAGGTCGACCGCGGTGCCGAGCAGGGGGGGCCCCTGGGACCTGCGCAGTGCGCCCTGACGCTGATCGCTTGCGCTGCTGCAGGTCGCCACGCGGTGGAGGCCCGAGGGGGGTGGGTCTGGGGCGCCTGGTACATGGACGACGGCCAGGTGTTTTTGCCGCCAGAGTTGGCGGGGACGTACCTGGAGGCGTTCGACGCGGAGCTCATGGTCGCTAGCGGCAGCGGGGTTTCCGGGGTCTTGTTCAACAGCACGGCGCGGCTGCTGGGCGCCCCGGAGGCCTGCGCGGCGGTGTCGCCCGAGTGGTGCGCGGGGATTGTGTCGGCGACGTGCCGGGTGGAGCCGCTGGGCCCTTCTGGGAAAGTGCTCGGAGTCCGCATTGCGGGCAACGATCTGGAGGGGCAGTTCCGCGGCGCCGCGGAGGCGACGGCGGCCGCCTGCAGCGCGCTGGAGCTCCTGGAGGACGCCCCAGCTGAGGTCGCCCTCCTCCGCATGAGCACGAACGTCTGCCGCGCCATGGCTGCTGGCCCCAGATCCCAGAGGCGGCTCTCGTTGACTTCGATGAGCGCCAGGGGCTCGCGCTGGCGGCGCTGCTCGGGGGGCAGCTCCCATCGGCGTGCCTGGAGCGGGCGGCTTGCGGTGCCGGGGGCGGCGGCCTCGGCCTCCGCCGCGCGGCTGACGCCAGCCCCCCGCGCCCCTGGCCAGCCGCGCGGCGGAGGCGCGGCCGCTGGCCGAGGAGCTTTGCAGCACGATGCCAGCCCAGTGGCGCGAGGAGTGGGATGCTTCCACCTCTGCCGCGGAGCAGTCGTGGCTCGCGCAGCTCCCGGCGGACCGGCGGGGCTTCGCCGCGCAGGTCCTTGCGGTGGGCGCTGCAGAGGCCGCCCGCGTCGCAGGGGAGTTGACGGGGCGCCTGCAGCCCCGCCGGCCAGCGCCAGATTTGGCCGCCACCGTCCAGGCCAGGATCGTGGCCCCCAGCGGCATCGAGGACCCGGAACACCCTGACGCGGCGGCGCGGGGCGGCCTGCAGGCGCGCCTCAGTGACCTGGTGGCGGGGGTCCGCCTTGATGGCATCTACGCCGAGCTCCAGCGCCAGGAGGACTGGTCCGCGGGCTGCACTTGCTCGACGATCTCCGGGGCCCGGACACGGACCACTCCTGGATGTGGGTCCTCAGTTCGGCCACTGGGGGCCATGTTCGGGCAGGCGAGTTCGTCGTGGCCGTCCGCCTGCGGCTCGGGGCGCCCGTCCTGGAAGCGCCAGCCACGTGTGCTTGCTGCGGGGGCGAGCTCGACCGCGAGTGCCACCATGCGTTGCGGTGTGCACCAGGGGCGAGCACCCGTGGTCACAACAAGGTCCGCGACTCTCTCCTCGGACTGGCCGGCCTGTCTGACAACGCCGCCGCCGTCGAGGTTCCGGGCTTAATTAGTCCCGTCGCATCCAATTCTCTGCCCTGCTGACGTTTTAACTTCCGCGGCTTTTGCCCGCCTGGCGGCCTTGGACGTGGGCGTGGCTTGTCCTGACTCGTCGGGCAGCGGGGCGGACGCTTGCGCCGCCATGGTGGCAGAGAAGCGGGGCAAGTACGCGCCCACGTGCTCCCAGAGCTCGCGGACGAGGGCATCGAGCACTGGCCTCTGATCTGGAGCTGCTGGGGCCGGCCGCACAGCGATGCGACTGCCGCCGTGGGGTCCATTGCAGCGGCTGCCTCGCGCCGCCGCGGCGTGGCCACGCCGGGTGTCCTGGCCCGTCGGGCCAAGGCATTGGTGGGCGTCCAGCTCTGGCGCCGGGCGGCTGCCATGGCGTCGGCCTGCTTGCCGTCGGCCCACCCAGGTGACGTCGTGGACATCCTCCCAGCGGCCCGCGATCGCCGGTTGCTGGAGCTGGGGCTCGCTGGCGGGGCGGGGGCTGACGCAGCGCAGGCGGCGTGGCCTGGTGGCCCGGTTGCCGCTGCCTTGCTGGCTCGGGTGGGGCGGATGCCCCTGGCGGGGCTGGAGACGACGCGGCGCGGGCCAGGGGGGCTAGCCCAAACGCTGCCGCGGGGCCTGAGGGCGCCCCTGGCTTGGGAGGCGCGGGGGGCGGAGCGGCGCTTGCTGGCCCGGGCGGCGCCGCGGGCGCTGCGGGCGGCGCCGCGGGCGTGGCCGCGCTCGCGGCCGCGTTCGAGGCGCTGGGAGGCGCTGAGCTCGGCGGCGCCGGGGGCGACGGCGCGGCGCCGGGTGGCCCGGCCGGGCCTGCGGCTACTGCGGCGCCCGCTGGCAGTGACCCTGGCCGCGGCGGCGCTGGAGGCGAGGCGGCGTTGGCCGGCCGCGGCGGCGCCGACGGCGTTGCGGAGCGCGGCGGCGGCGGCGCTGCGGGCGAGGAGGCACTGTGGGTCGCGCCCAGTGCGGTGGGCCTGGAGGCTGCGCTGGAGGCTGGCGGCGAGGCCCCGCCCGCGCGGGAATTGGCCGAGTCCGGGCCCGACTCGGCCACGCGCCGCGCGGGCGGGAGCGACGGCGCTGGAGGGGTGCGCGACGCGCCCAGTGCGGCGGGCCTGGAGGCTGCGCCGGAGGTGCGCGACGCGCCCAGTGCGGCGGGCCTGGAGGCTGCGCCGGAGGCTGGCGGCGGGGCCCCGCCCGCGCGGGCATTGGCCGAGTCCGGGCCCGACTCGGCCACGCGCCGCGCGGGCGGAAGCGACGGCGCTGGAGGGGTGCGCGTCGTCACCCTTGGCGCGCCCGGGGGCCCTGCTGGCGCCGCCGATGGCTCCGGGCCTGGCGGCGCTGCGGCGGCGCCCCCGGCGGTTGGGGGCCTGCCGACGCGGCGGTGCTCGACGCCGAGCTTCTTCTGGACGACGCTGTGCTGGCAGCCGCGGGCGGCGCCGGAGGCGCGGCCGCTGCCCTGGAGGCCGCGGCAGTGGCGGCTGAGCGTGACGCACGGCCTGGCGCGGCGCTGGCCAGTACGATCGGCCCTGCTGGCGACGGGAGCGCGGCCGCAGCACCAGAAACCGCCGGCCCGGGGCCTGGGGCGCGTGTCCGGGCCCTGCGCCTCGTCTACGGGCGCGGGCCTGTATGAGGCGGGCGGTGGCGCTGAGGCCGGGACTAGCTGGCCGAGCGGCGGGAGACCCAGTTCCTATCGAGACGCGGTTTCTGCGGACAAAAAAAGCAGCCGTCTGCAGGCATGTTTGTTCAAGGTTGAGTTGCACTCCGCCTGCGCGCTGGTGAGAGGGGCACTTTGGTCGAGAACTTCAGACCCTTCAGAACCTTCCCGATCTCCTTGCCCCACATCCTCATAATTACATCTTCCCGCATCCCCTTACATCCTCCCCTTCCTCCTCCCGCTGCCGCCTCCCGTTCCTTTCCCCCTTGCATCAGAGTGTGGCTTCCGATATCACTTGTGCTGTTGTTGATTTTTTGCGTTGGTTTGCTCTACCTACCCCACCGCGCCTCCGACCGTTCTTGTTCACCATCGAAGTTCGGATTCTCCCTCCACCGCCTTCTCCCTCCTTCATTGGCTCTCTCTCTCTCTCTCTTCTCCAAGCTCTTCACTCCGCCTTCCCCTCCCTCCTTCCCCAGCCCTCCATTGCGCATCCGCAATTGTTCCTCCTCCCTCGCCCCCCCTCCCTCGCCCCTCCTCCCCCAGCCCTCCTCCCCACTCCTCCGCCTTTCCCTGCTCCCTCTTCCTTCGTCCCTCCTCCCTACCGTGCGTTCCCTCTTCGCTTCTCCCTTTTTTCCCTCCTTTTCCTCCTACTTTCCTCCTGCAGTTGGAGGGGCGTCTCACTACCACTGGCATCCGAGGGCAACCAGGAGCATCGCAGGGGATGGCGACGAGGATGGCGAGGAGGAGCAGGAGGACAGAGGGGGGCGAGGAGGACGAGGAGGCGGTGGAGGGCGAGGAGAGCGAGGAGGAGCAGGAGGCCCCCTCATCCGCCCAGGGCCCTGGAGGGCGAGGAGGGCGAGGGCGAGGCGGGCGAGGAGGAGGAGGAGGAGGAGGAGGAGGGCAGCGACGAGGGCGAGGAGAAGGAGAAAGGGACCTTGTGCCGTGGCCCGCCCCGCTGGCCGAGGCCCCAGCCACATGCAGAACCTGCGAGGCGCCAGCGGGATCTCTTCGCTGCGTCGCGTCGTCGTCATCAACGTCATCGTCGTCGTCGTCATCGTCGTCGTTGGTCTTCTTTGTCGTCGTCGTCGTTGTCGCTCTTGGTGTCGTCGTTGTCGTCGTCATCGGGCCTCCGCGGGGGGGAGAAGGGGAGGACGAGGGGTCGCTGGTTCTTGGATGAAGTTTGGGTTGGGTCTTGGGGGATGTCTCGCCTCGGGATGCCTTCCAGCAGATGCGCCTCGTCAAAAGCTGTCCGGGGCTGCCGGAGTCATCCCGAACGGCCGCTGGAGGTCCAAGTTCAGACCCGAAAGACAGCAAGCGTACACTTGGGGAGTGAGAGCAGGGGTGTGTGGATGTCATGGCCAGGGCCACGAGATCTCCCAGTTTTCATTGCTTTCTTGCGGTTCTATCAAGACGTTCTCTCCTCCCCCATCGTCGCGCACATGCCTCGGGCCACCCTCCACTAAGCCCCCTCTTCCTGGCCTTCATCTTGATTGGGCACCCGAAGGGGGAGGAGGATTTGCTCGAATACGTCGAGCTTGTGGGTGCTCACCTGTGGCACGGTGTACGGTAGGCCGTGGGCTCCTCCGAGGCACGGGGGGGTGTTGCGAGGAAGGAGTAGGAGGAGGAGGGGGATGGACGGTCAAGGGGCACGAGACAATTAAGGTCTAGCATCCGACGGGACGGAAACTAGCCGAGCTGGCAGATGAGGCCATGCGGCAGCGCAGGAGAGTCCCGCGCCCGCGACCTCAAAAGCGCACACGGGTGCGCTCGAGCCGCCTCAACAACCAGTCCAGAGCAGCTCCGACGCTCGGCGCCGATCCTGCCCCAGACGAGCTTGTGGGCGCGGCTCGCGTCCAGCCAGGACTTCGTCCTAGGATGAGGCGGGAGGAGGAGGGATGAGATGAGGAGGGAGGACGTGCTGCAGGAGGAGGACGAAGAGCGGGGAGCGTGGCTGCGGGGCTCGGCCGATAGGAGTTGCCGGGGCGAGGCGAGGAAGGTGGAGGAGGGGGAGGGGGAGGACAACAAGGGGGAGAGGTCGAACAAGGAAAAGATGTATAACACTTTCGGAGGCCCGCGCGGATTTCTTGGGGCGGCGGCTATGACGCAGCCTTTGGCGAGCTCTGTGCTCCACGGAGGTGGTTCCGCGACGATCAAAGAAATTTGCACGGACCTGCAATTGCTTATGCTTATGTAGTTGTTACTCTTTCAGAGTGGACGTGCACGGGAGGCAGACAGCGTTACACTCTTGCAGCTCGAATACCAGCAGAGCCGTTTGCTGAGCGTGTCGCGCCGCCCGTTTCGGCCTAGCGCGCCCCGGCGCGAAATTGATCACGTCCCAGTCCTCAAGGGATCGCCGACCACGTGTCCCCAGCCTTCCCGATGTGCGTATTTGTGATGTGCGTCGTCGGCAGACTGCCGCAGGAATTGTTGTGGATTTCGAAACTCACTCCGGACGCTATGTTACGCTTTGGCAACATTGGGTCACGGGAGCAACAGGAGCATCTCACTTTGACGTGCGTCTTTGCATGCTGGTTCTTTCTGCATTGTTTTCTGCATGTGCCTGGGAAGCGAGAGGTTTCGGCCGTTTGCGCTCGGTCGGATGACCGTTTGGTTGCTTGCACGTCTTGTGGCGCATGTTGTGATTTGCGCGGGCTTCGCGTATCCCCCGCCAGCCCATCTGGGGACGATTCCCAGGCGGCCTGCCTTGCACCCAGGCCGCCCACGGAGGGCCGGCCAGAGGAGACAGCGTCGAAGGGCCGCGCCGCCGTCGCCTTCGAATCGGCAATGTTGTGAGATTTGGAGCCCTGGTTTCTTCCATCCCGGCGTCGCCGATGCATCGTCGACGCGGCCTTAATGATCGCATCCCCGCTGGCTCCATTCGTGTGGCCTCGATTCCATTCTCGATTCGCTAGCAAGCCATCCAGAAGCTATTCCCCAAAGACCTGGGAGCTTCTTGAAGGCCTCAAGGAGTCGGGGATCCCCCCAGGCAGCTTGGATGCTTTTGGGGCGTATTCGGTGCTCTCTTGGGGCCCTTATGAGAGTCTTTCGGCTTCGAGCTCGAACAACTTCTTATGGGGCCCTCCATTGGGGCCCCCTCAGGCTATGGGTTATAGTGCGGCCATCGTAAGGCCTCATATGCCCATCGGAGTCTGAAAAGGCGAACAGGCGAATGTTAGGATTCTGGTGTATAGGCTCATTGCGGCCTCTCGGAGTCGCGGTGCCGGTCTTCTGGGCCAAGTTGGAGCCGTTCTGGAGTCTTTCATTGGTCAGATTTGATTAGTATTGTCCATTTTGCACCCAAGCCGACCTTCCGACATAGTGCGACCGAATTGATTCAGACTTCCGCGGAGAGGGTACGCAAGGGCAGGAACAAGTCTTTTCCCGCAGGGGAGGATACGATTGAATGTTTGTGTTGAAGAGTTGGCACCATAAACTACCTGCGGCGAAAAAAGGCAGGTGAGATTGTCGCCCAGCAGCCTGGAACGATTTCTTACATGTCCAGCCGGAGGTCGGAGTTCAAAGCATATCCAAACGCCCAGAATCTGCACTCTTGTCTTGCTTGCTACAGTTGCCCATTCACAGTTGCAGCGTACCGCAGCACGTCTTCGAGGTTTGCGTGTCGGCCTGTTGCAGTAGCGTCTGCCTCCGCGCAGGGGCCTGCGTCTCCGCGGCGACGCGAAGGGCCATGACCCAGGAGCGCTCCGCCTCACGTATCCTTTGATACGATCGCGCTTGTGCTCTGCAACGCTGCCCATGACGACAAAGGTGACGCGTAATAGCATGGTGCTAAGAGCGAGAAGGACCACCGTAATCAGGATCAGGATGGGCCAATCTGCCCTCCGCCTCGGCCTGCTCCGCCCTCTTCCGCTTTCCTCCTTGGCGTCGTCCTCATCCTCGTCGTCGTCGTCCTCCTCCGCTCTCTTCCCTCTTCGTCGTCCGTCCTTCTCTTCCTCGTCGTCGTCGTCGTCCCATCCTCCCTCATTCTCTTTACAATTAAACAATACGAATACTACTCTCATCTCTCCCCTGATGGCGTCCGGAAGATAGCCAGCCCCTTCCGCGTATTTTTCTCACACGCAGGATTCCCGGGAACTTGGTTTTCGCTTTGGCTGTTTCCAAACGTTCCTCCCGCTGAAGCGCTGGCCTCATTTTCTGGCTCCCGCTCGTTCCGAATGGAGCTCCCGCTGCAGCGTTTGCCTCATTTCCGCGCTTCCTCGTTCCGAATCGTGCTCCCGCTTCAGCGCTGGCCTCATTTGAGCGCTTCCGCTCGTTCCGAGTTCTGGTCGTTCCAAATCGTGCTACCGCTGCAGCGCGGACGTTTCTCGTTCTTCCAAATAGAATGTGCAAAATGCCCCCCCCCTCCCCGAAAAGACGTCGGAAGTGATTGCACATCCGGTGTCGATTCGTTGATCTTTGGGACCGCAGACGGCCCCTCTGGGGCGTCGTCTTTTCGAGGAAGTTTCAGGAGGAAGCCCGTTTCTGCCTGGAGAAGTCTATGTTGAAAGCAAAGCCAGCAGGTTCTCTCCATCAGCTCCTCCTCCTCCTCCTCCTCCTCCGCCTCGTGGGGAGCTTTCCGGGAAGCCCAGGAAACTGAACATGGAGCCGCGACCTCAGATTGGCCCAGACCTCTCGAAGACGATCAACTTAACCTCCAAGGAACCCGGTGCCATGCCATGACATGCAGCGGTGTTGTGTTATGTGCCGTTGTGCGATGCCATGCTCTGCGTCGCAATGTTTTGTGATGCAATGCTTCAGTACGCGATGCCACGCCATCCTATGACATGCTAGGCTCAGCAGTGCTCTTCTACGCCATGCTATGCCGTGCGCTACGATGCATGGCGCACTCTCCAGGGATCATAGCCCTGCTCGACATCCGATTGTGCGAATGGAGAGGATATACTACGCCATGGTGAGAAAAAGGAGGGAGCGGTAGGACGTAGTTATGACGCGAGCGCACCTAGCTTGCCTCCTGCCCCTCTCTCCCTTTCCGCCTCCATCCCTTCCTCGTCTTCCGCACCTCACTCCGCGCGGGCTCGCAGAGCATCGCCCGCGCCCCCTCCTGTCGCCCCTTCCTCGCCCTCCTCATCCCCTGTCACTCCTCTTCTTGGGTGGGCCTTTTTTGTTCGCAGCTCGTTTAAACATGATTATATGATGATTTTCTGTGCACGATTGTAGAGGCTACTAGAGGCCGCTGAAGGTCACTAGAGGCCGCTAGCTACCACTAGAGGCAGCTGAACGGCGACTGAAGGCAACTAAAGGCCGCTAAGAATACACTGAAGGCCGCTAAAGGCCTCTACCGGCTGCTAGACCGAGGCGGTGTATACACATACACACACACACATATATATATATATATATATATATATATATAGATACAAGACTGCAGTGGCGCTTCGCGCCAAGCACCTTGGTCCTTGAAGATTGCTACGCAGGCAGAAAAGGCAGGAAGGTCAAGCGGACACTTTAACGATAACTCGTTGCTGCCTTTTCTGGCATCGCCATTATAATAATGCTGTTCGTTCTCCTTCATCCATGCTTATTTTTCCTCATTCTCGCCATACCCTGGGCATTCCCCCCATCCTCCTCAGCTCTTTTTGCGGAGGCTCCTCCTTGGAGAGCCTCTGGTGGCCTCACCAAAGTTCCCAAGCTTTCTTAAAGCCTTCTGGAAGCCTCCTGGGGGTGTTTTGGGGGCCTCTGGGGCTTCCTAAGGCCAACCTGCCTCTAACCGCGGTCTCCCTGAACGCCCCGGTCACGATTTGGAATGCTTCTGAGGGTGTCTTGGGGCCATCTTGGGCCGCCATGGGGCTCTCTTAGGGCCATTTTGGACCCCTGGTGTGCCCTTTTGGGGCTCTCTTGGACTGCCTGGAAGCCCTTTCGGATGGCTGTGGGGCGATTCTGGAGCCTCCCAGGCGACTTCGGACGCCCAGAAGACCGCTGTTTTGGAGCGTCGGGAAGCCGAAAACAGGAGAACCCCAAACTCACCAAAAACCTACATTAAATCACTGATGTTTCCCTCTTGGGGCCTTCTTGGGGGTGCTCTTGGAGGCCTCTTGGTACGTTTAGGAGCGATCTTTCGGGGTATGACGGCTTCTTGGAGGGCTCTTGTGCTGTCTCAGGGTTCTCCAGGACGTATCCGATGACCCCCTTGATCGCCCTAGGTGTGCTGCGAAGGCTCGGCAAAACGCCCTGCGAGGCCCTGGGGGCCGCTTCGAGGCCCGTCCGAAGGGTCCCAAAGTCCCAGATCCCAGGAGTCCGTTGTTTTTTTTTGGGGGGGGGACGGGTTTTCCCCCCGCCCGGGCTTGTAAAAATATAAGAAGAGGAATCTATGAATTATTCCGACGGTAGGACCCCGCATGAGAGTCTGTTTAGCTTCCCTTAGCCCTTCCCTCTTCTCCCTGGCGGACACTCTCCTCTCGCCGTCTGCTATGCTCTCTCCTCCTCCTTCTATGTATCTTCCTCCTTCTCCTCCTCCTCCTCCTCCTCCTCCTCCACCTCCTCCTCATCCTCACCCTCCCCCATACGCCATGCCCCTTCCCTCCTCCTCATCCTCCGCCTGCCTCTTCTCCATGTGCACCTCCCCGTCTCCCTGGTCGGGGCAAGCAAAACGATGTTCCTCGGCGCCCTCGCCGCCGCGGCAATCAGGCACGCGTTTGCCGACGGCTAGATCGCGAAACCGTCGGGACAACCCTTCTGGCCAGGCCGTTGGGGCAACCCCGCGAGCCGCTGGACCACGAGAGCAAACCGTTGGGACAACCCCGCAGGCACCGAGCTAATCGCGGCCGCGCGCAGGCCGGAGGCAGCACGAAACCCAGCTCTGCCGCGAGTTGCTCCGCCTCAGCCCTGGAGTCCACCGCTCTCTTGTCGAACTCCTGAACCGCCTTCCGCAGGGACGCCGGCGGCCCGCGCTCCAGGAAGTCTCGCGCGGGCGGCCGCAGGATCAACATGTTCCGCATGCACGTGGCGCGGGAGAACATGACGTAGAGGTGGAGCCACCACTGCTCGTCCGACACGCCCGTGCGGCCAGCGTCCTCATCCCTGGCGCAGTCGATGGTGACCCCCTTGCGCAGCGTCTGGCCCTGCGACAGGACGCAAGGGTCCCCCCAGGTCTGAATCCCGCTGCTCCTCCTCCGGCCCGAAACCTCACCCGCCGAACGGCCAGGGTACGCTCAAAGCCTTCGGTCGCCAAGGTCGGCGGCACCTCTGGCTCCACTGGGATCGCGACATTACCACCCCCGGCCCGGACGCAAGGGTTCCCCCCTGCGCCCGATTCGGCTGACGATGGGTTACCACCGCCAGCCCGGAGACAAGGGGTTACCCCTGCCCCCGATTCGGCCGAGGATGGGTTACCACCCCCGGCCCGGACGCAAGGGTTTCCCCCTGCGCCCGGCCGCCGCTTCGGCCGAGGATGGGTTACCACCCCCGGCCCGGACGCAAGGGTTTCCCCCTGCGCCCGGCCGCCGTCGTCCTCCTCAATTCCTGTTCCTCGTCCTCCTCCTCCTCGTCCTCCTCCTCCTCCTCCTCCTCCTCCTCCTCCTCCTCATCCTCCTCCTCCTCCTCCTGCGCCTCAGCTCCAGCTCGCATGCTTCGAGCTGGCTCAGCGCGGGGACTCCCGCGGGGACAGACCAGCGGGCTCCTGCCTGCGACTTCTTCGCGAGTCACTCACAGACGAGGCTCCCGCTTGATGCATCCTCCTTATTGAAGCCCTCCGGAGGCCAAAAGTGACGACAGTTACACGTTTCGGATGACCCGCCTCGGATTAACAACGTGAGGTGCGGTGCCCTCATCAAACTTCAATCACAGACGAGGTTCCCGCTTGATATTTCCTCCAGATTCACGCCGCAGGGGCCCAAAAGTGACGATAGTTACACGTTTCGGATGACCCGCCTCGGATTAATAACATGAGGTGCGGGCCCCATAGGGAGAGGCTTCCCGCTTGAGACTTCGTCGCAATTCAATCACAGGCGAGGCTCCCGCTTGATTTTTCTTCCAGATTCTCACCACAGGGGCCCAAAAGGGACGACAGTTACACGTTTCGAATGACCCGCCATGGATTAGAAACATGAGGTGCGGGCCCCATAGGGAGGGGCTCCCGCCTGAGACTTGCTCACAAGTCACTCACAGGCGAAGCTCCCGCCTGATACTGCCTCCACATTCTCGCCACAGGGGCCCAAAAGTGACGACAGTTACACGTTTCGAATGACCCGCCTCGGATTAGAAACGTGAGGTGCGGGCCCCTTAGGGAGGGGTTCCCGCCTGAGACTTCCCCACAATTCACTCACAGACGAGGCTCCCGCCTGATACTACCTCCAGATTCACGCCGCAGGGGCCCAAAAGTGACGACAGTTACACGTTTCGGATGACCCGCCTCGGATTGATAACATGAGGTGCGGGCCCCATAGGGAGAGGCTTCCCGCTTGAGACGTCCTCACAATTCACTCACAGACGAGGCTCCCGCCTGACTACCTCCAGATTCTCGCCACAGGGGCCCAAAAGTGACGACAGTTACACGTTTCGAATGACCCGCCTCGGATTAGAAACGCGAGGTGCCGGCCCCATAGGGAGGGGTTCCCGCCTGAGACTTCCTCACAATTCACTCACAGACGAGGCTCCTGCTTGATGCTTCCTACATATTCAAGCTAGGGAGTGATTGTGGACGAAGTGATGAGTGACTCAGTGATTGTTGACGAAGTACGA